TTTGTGGGTGGGTGGGTGGGTGGATGTGGGGATGCGTGTGTGTTGGGATGTGTGTGTGTGCGTTTGTGTGTGTGTGTGTGATTGTGTGTGTACATATAGATACATATGTATATGAAATATATATATATGTTTGTGTGAATGTGTTTGTGTGAATGTGTTTGTGTGTGTGAGTGTGTGTGTGTGTGGGTGTGTGTGTGCGTTTGTATTTGCGCGTGTGTGAGCGTGTGTGTGTGAGTCTGTGTTTGCGCGATTGTGAGCGTTTGCGTTTGTGTATGTGTGTGCGTGCGTGTGTGCGTGTGTGCGTGCGTGCGTGCGTGTGTGCGTGTGTGCGTGCCTGTGTGTGTGTATACGCATATATATATATAAATATATGTCAACATATAAGTCAATGTGTATATATACTCTATATATATATGCATACCTACGAGCCTTATTCAAACATATACACACGGAACTTAATCAAACATATAAAGAGTAGTCGATGGGTGTTGAGGTCACGGAATACATTCAAACATGCTGATATGAACATGTATATATTATTATTTTATATAAGTATTGTTACTTTACACGTGTAACAACATCGATATGTAAAAGACAAAGAACTTATACGTTATTGTATATATGGAAGTGTACTCAACCGGCATACAAGCACTAGTTCTCGTCACTAGAAACACTGTTTGCTAGAATATGGATATTGAACCACATGCAAGACACTACTGAAGACATCGCCAAGATTAGTTACACACTAATAGGGGTAATGGCAAACCCATTCAACCATCTGGTCGATATATTATCATAAGGAAAGCGCAATAGAAGTACACTCACCGAATAAATAGGTCGCTGCTATGCCACCGAGAATCGTGAAGGCTACTCGCCACCGCAAAGGCAGCCACCTCGGTAAACAGGGTCGTGTGAGACGTGACGAACTCGAATTCTGTCTACTCATATGCAACCGCACAGTATGATGATTTGAATCACTAGCAATACGCTCAGGTGTAAGAATTCCTTGCTCACCGACCTCTACGTGATTGTCATATGTGTTCGTAGACGACACTGTTTCGGTGGTTTTACGCTCAGTAGAGCAGTAGTTTTCATGTTCCCTAAGATTTGGTACAATGTGACGGGTAGTAGCTAGGGATATAGCGCCATGCTGACGGCTTTGCCTATCGTTTTCGTCCGCCATGTTGCTATATGAGAGTGGTATCCCAGTGTCGAATTGCACGGTGTCAATATGATAGTTTTGGAGTGGTTCCGGGTGATAGTGGCATCACACACTCAATATTTGTGGACCTACTTAAACCTTGACATATTTACGCAACATCTTAAGCTTGTGTTACTAGTAGTGCATAGTGGAATAAGAGTGGCTAATAAGAGCGGTAAGAGTGGCTACCGTATGTCTGAGTAACCGTGCCCTGTATTCAGCTGCCGGTTACTGTCGTTGGCTCGCTCTTGGCTGCTGAACTTTGCATTTTTAATTTTGTACTACTTTTCCCGAGAGATTCGAGAGGCGAGACGAGAGGCGGTTCTTTTTTATTATTATTTTGTGTGTGTGAGTCACGATTTCACGCGAATATAGAGTAAAATACATCTGAATACGGAATTGGCGACCAACGATTCTGACCAATGAAAATGAAATATCTCAATAGTGTACCAACAAAATAATTACCCATCGGGGAATCGAACCCCGCCCTCAAGCGTGAGAAGCTTATATCCTAGCCGATAGACGAATGGGTATAAATTATTTGAGCTTAAAATTAATATGATCTATATTTTTATTAGTATACAGTGCTCGTGGCCTGAGTAGTTAGATGCTCATTTAGCACATTTGTTTCCCAGCATAGTTTAATATATTGACGGTTAGGTTACCTTATATCCCTGTCTTTATAGACATAGCAATAATTCTCACGCTCAAATTTAGAATAACCTGTAAATGAATAAGTGTGTATTCGATGCCGTTTAGAAATGGGAGGCAAGTAACCCTGTACATTGACAATTTCCAATCTAATTTTATATCATTGAAGTTAATTTGATGGTAAAACTAGTAATCACGGGTAGTTCATTTACTTTAGCCGGACCAAAGAACACGGTACAGCGAATTGTAAGCGGGCCGTTCCCTATCAAAATGTACATAGGGCTGATATCAGTTGTGCATCCGCTTTCAATGATTACACCCGCGTAGTATCCCACCGATACGAAAAATGAAGAGTTTTAGGTATTTTTTAT